CGCAGCCCTGGGGCTGGCAGCCAGCACCCCGGGATGGCTCCTCTGCCGAGACTGACTGCCAGGGAGCCCCAGTACTGTGCATCTGGTCCCTTGCTGCTTGCTGCTGGGCCTTGCCCTGAGGAGACCAGCGCAACCAGGGCAGTAGCAGGATGGCTACCAGGCGCTGTGTGCTGCAGAGAGGGGAGCAGTGCTGGAAGCAAGACAAGAGGGAAGGCCCAGTTGTTAACATGAGGGCCCAGTGCTCCTGGCAGCTGATCCCAACAGCCCTCCGAGGAAGGTCCTCCTCTCCTGACTCGCTCACGGCAAGGCAAGAGGTGAAGTTTGCGGTGACATAATGGGGCTGAACGGCAGCTGAGACACCGAAAGGGTTTGTCCTGCTTTGTGCCCCTTCAGCACTTGCACTTAGGGAGGGTCCTGAGACACACAGCAGTCCCCTGTGCCATCTGTAGACCCTCACCAACATGTCTCTCAACTTTATCTCGCTTAGCACAGGCTTCATCCAGGGCAGAACACTACTCCACCTGCTCAGTGCAGGCCTTCTCACAGGCCCCACGGCACAAAACCCACAACAGACTCCTACCTGTGGAGTACTTCAGCTGGACTTGTCCCTGGATGATCTCCACTGCCAAGAAGTCATGCCTCTCGTTCAGGCGCCCGTTGTAGAGCAGGAGGCCACTGGGCTCCACGGTGCTGAACCTGGGCGAGGGAGGAAGCGGGAGGGCAGGGTGTGTGCAAGGAGCCTGTGGAGATCCCCACTCTCCAGTGGCACACACCAGCATCCCAGCACAGGGACAGGGCGAGACCCAGGCCTGGCCCCAGGTGCAAGCCCTGCTGAGAGGGGCTGGGAGCTTGATCCAGCAGATGCTTTGGGAGCATGGCTGTATGTCACATCCAGTGGGAGGAAGAAGAAGACTCACGAGAGGGCAAGGGTGAGGTGGAAGCGCTGGCGCAGGCCCCGGAACATGACGAAGGACCGTGGTGGGAAGGAGCGCGTGGACACCTCGCAGAAGGGCATCTCAAAGGCCCCAGGTGGGCACTGGCAGCGGAAGCCCCCGTCAGCGCTGTTGGTGCAGGTGCCGCCATTGTGGCACACGCCGGGCACGCAGCGACCCGAGCGGCTGTCCACTTCGCAGTTCTCACCTGGGGAGCAATATGAGAGGCTTGTGACATGTCTCAGTTGGGGGGCATGCACACAGCTGTCACCCATCCACTCCTTGCCCCAGGAGTGCAGACCTCAGCCCAAGTTTGGGGTAGGGCAGGCAAGGGGCAGGAGTTTATGGGACGGCGGGGGGCAGGTGAAAGATGTGACAATCTAGGTGTCACCCAGGCGTTCCCCACAGTCGCCAGCAAGCTAGCTACCACCGCCAGCCCTGCCAGCCCGAGGTACTGGACTGGATGGAATGTCAGCTCCAAGTGTAGGGGCAAGTTTGGACCCAGGACAGCACAGGAATGAGACAGGAGAGGACTGGTCACAGCTGGACTGCACAGTCATAAGGATGAAGAAACAAAGACAAGCCAAGGAAGTCCTGGCAATGCTGAGCCTGTGTGCAGGCTCTGATGTACGAACAAAAGGGACACCAAACACCTGGCTGGCGTCAGTAATGGGGATGCCCCAAGCCAGCTCAGCAGTGCAGCGCAGGGGCTCCAGTCAGCCCTGCTGCCCCTGCTGTCCCTGCAGCACACAGCTCAGCTACTGTCCTTCCCATGCCCCTGGCTGCTTCCATTACTTTCTCTGTGGTACAAAAAGAGGATGAGGAGACAGCGTGAAGTGACAAGGAAATGAGCTCATTAACCCTTCTGCTAATGGCTGTTCACGCTTCAAATGCTGGAGGTTAATTACCACTGACTCTGCTTATCTCACCAGGAACCATGGAGAGGTGAACGGCTCCCAGGCAGCCATCTGCTGCCGTGCTTCCTTCCCGGCAGACAGGGCAAGGCGGGGGCTCCCTTCCTGGTAGCCACAGGACACCTTCCCTCACCTCCAGGTTGCCAGTCACCGGGCACAGGTCTATACAGCCTGTTGGGGACCTGTGGCGACAGGACACTGGCCAACCCACGCATTCCCTTCACAATTAGGACCTGCCTGGATCGGATCCTGCCTGATGGAGGAGCTAGGCCCAGCCTCCCCTTCTGTTTTGGCTGGGCAGCAGCTTACCCACTGCACATGGGGCCAGCATGGGCTCTACACCTCTGCCAGACCGGCTGAAGACTGGTAGAAGCTGAAAACAGCATCTCCAGTGGTTCCAGGAGCCTCTCACCCCACTGGCAGGGCTGAGGAGTGTCCTGTGCCCCAGTCTGGCACAGTCCATCTTGGTCTTCCTGCTCCAAGAAAAAGGCTGGGAAGTGGTGGCCTGGGTCCCCAAGAGTCATCCATGCCCCTTCCCTATGAGACAGATTTCTATGGCAACCTGAGCCCTGCACATCCAGCGCCATGGAAACAAGGAGAGTCAGGAGAAGAGCCAAACCTCTGCGGGCAAAGAGGGGCTCCAACACCCACTGCCCTGCTGGGAAGAGCAACTGTCTGCAACTGGCCGTGGTGACAGCAACACCAAGGGATGCACTCACCCGTTCCCCCGCGACCTCCAGCCCCAGGCACTCACCGCTGAAGTTCTGGCGGCAAACGCATGTGTATCCCCCCTCCTTGTGGGTGCAGATCCCACCGTTCAGGCAGGGGTTTGATCTCCGTTTCACAGTAGTCCCCAGTGAAGCCCTGGGGGCAGCGGCACCGCAGGCCAGTGATGGGGTGGATGGGCCGAAAGAGGGTGGAGGGGGAGGCGATGAAGGGTGCCGAGCTGTCGAACTTGAGGACGGAGATGCACTTCATGTAGTTCTGGCAGGGCTCCCGCAGGCAGACGTTGTCGTCAAAGGGCAGCACCTCCAGCATGGAGGCACCCGTCAGCGCCATGCGCTTCATGTACAGCTGCTCCTGCAGCTCCTCTGAGCTGAAGTACCGCCCACCCCGCGGCGCCAGGGCCGAGAAGCTGATGTTGAGCACCGTACCACCCACATCAGTGTCATTCTGGATGTTGAAGATGAAGATGTCCTCCTTGGGTGTCGCAAGCACGGTGGCCACCCCTTCCAGGAAGGTGGACAGCAACGGGGAAAGGAAGCGCTCCTGCCACATGTTCTCCAGCCGCACCGTGATGCTGTTGGCCAACATGTCCTCCGTGATGATGATCACCCGCAGGACGCACTGGGCCGTCACACTGTGGATCCCATCTGGGGGAGGGAACAGGGACAGGCTGCAGGTCTTTGCCTGCTGCTTGGGGGAGTCTCCTCCCTCCCACTCTGGGGCAGAGCCCTGCACTCCAGTGCAGCCTCCAAAAGGCCCGAGTCCCTGGCTAAGAAAGCTTGGAGCCACAGCCCCAGGAGCTGTGGGCTGGAGGGGGAAATGGTTGATGTGGCTGCACCTTCTCCCTCCCCCCAGGCTCTCCACTGAGATAACTCTCAGGTTTCCTCCCTGTCCTGGATCTCGGCAGCAAACTGAGCTCTCAGGAACAAAGATGCTGGTGAGACCCAGGCAGAAGGAAGTCCCAGCAGGAGGTTGTGCAAACACAGGAGCTGATGCCAGGGCCTGGGGTGTCTTGCTTCCCCGCTGTGCCCTGGCTGCCTCCCCCACGCTGCCTTTCCCTGCGCTCTCCTCCTGCCATTTCCTCCTCCAGGGTCTCCAAGGCTTTTGTGCCGGTCTCCCTGCTTCTCCCCGTCTCACCATCTGCTCCGCATCTCTTCCTCCTTCATATCATCTCCTGTTTGTTTAATTCTCTTTAATCTTTCTTTTCCTTGGAAACAAACTCCTTCCCCTTGAGACCTCTCATCATGCGAGCAATCTCCCAGGCATGAAAAATTGAGCAAGAACACACACTTGGAGTGAGCCCGCCCGCTCTCGCCCAGGGCCTTGGCCATTAGCAGGATCTCACCCCCAGGCCAAGGCACACCCAGGTGCCAGCAGCACAGCACCGGCCTGGACAGGCAGCTCTCACCTCAGCAGTGATTTAGGGCTCCCCGTCTCACCCCACCTACCCACCTCCCAGAAACCCAGTGGATCCTGCTCCCTTGGATTTGCCCTGTTGCAAATTAGGAACTAGTGGCCAGGCTGGGAGCTGGACAGACAGACAGACAGATGTGACCATGCTCCTAATCCCCCCCAGAAACCCTGGTGCGAGCACCAGCAGGCACGCAGCAGCCCTCCCAGTGAGACAGACTGTAATGCCCTCCCCGGGTCACCTGAACAATGGGCCTCATGCATCCTCTCCTGGGCATCCACATCAGGTTCAACACTCTGGGTCCCAATTTTAACACTGACGTGCGAGATGGGCTTGTGAAAAGGCAAGCAGGAGGGTGGATCTCTCTTCAGAGGAAGAGCAGCTAAAGCAAGGATGCCCCCAGCACGATGGACAGCAGTCCCACCTCTGCTTCACCCCAGCCCTCACCCGTGTCCCAGCACACGCTGGCGAGTGCAAAACAGGCACCCAGGGCTGGGCCGCTCATGCCCTACTCCTTATCCTCAAAGCCAGAAAGCTAAAGGATGAGCCCTCACCGGCTCGAGGTGTTCTCAGTCCAGGGAGCAGCCATGTGGGTTATAACCACGCACACTGGTGTGACCACCCCGCTAGAAGGATCCTCCACCAAACATTCCACAGTCTGGTCTAGCCCATGGTGGCCCCAGAGGAACAACAGCACATTACCAGGGCGAAACACAGGAGAGCTGCTCCTTTACTCACTCGCTGTAATCTCTGCCCCTGTCTCAGCCTGGGTATGACACCTCTCGGTGCTGTTCAGAGCAGGGAGGGGACCCATGGTCTTCAAGGTGACCCTATCCTGTGGGCCATGCGAAGGCACAGCACAGCCCCAGGGAACTGCTCCTCCCCTGCTCGCCCTTCCAAGTGGCCCATCTCTCAGCATCGCTTCCTCTCCTGCAACCCAGCGCAAGGCAGCACACACCCTGGTCAGCCCCAGCTATGATGAGCACCAGGGGTGTAAACGCCAGCCCCCCCAACCCTGGCTCTGCTCCAGGCCTCACGTACAAAGCTGCCTTTACTCTCCTCTCTTCCCATGGCTGCTGTACTGCAAAACCTTTTGATTCCCCTCAGCCCTGTTTGAAGTTTGCAGTGCAGGAGGATTTAAAGATTGAAACGTCTCCCCTTTTCCTCCCATGTCTCTTCTACTCTTCAAAAGGTGAAAGAGCTTTCTAGCAACCCTGCAAATTCCCATGCAAGCACCAGCATGGTGCTGGTGCTCTGGAGATAAGGCTAGCTGGGCTGGGGGAGTACAGTCACCAGTACAGTCACCCAGGAGCTAATCTCCTGGAGGAAGAGAGGGTTGCTTCCCTCTGAAATCAAACTGCTCCCACTCCCTAGGGAATCAAGGTGAGAAATCAGCCCTCTGTGTGAGACCGTGCCAGCTCTGACATGGAGGGCAGCGTGGGCAGCAGTTATGAAACAGCTCTGTCCAGCACCTGGCTGGACGTGCCAGGGGGTACAGACGTGCCTGGGCTCCGTGCAAGGAACTGACATTGTCACCTGCATCCCCCAAGGCACCTTTTCTCTGCAAGCTGTTCATGTGCAGCCCATATCAGCCAGCCCTGAGGCATGAGCGAGGGGAGAGCCACAAACCTGGCTCAGCCACACTGGGCATGAGGTGCTAAAGCCACCAGCAGCCTGGTGGGCCGAGGTACCTGAGGACCCACCTGGTGTGCCAGCACCCCAGGGATGC